CCCTCCCCCTTTAGCACCACCTTCCGTTCACTCATTGGCTCCTTTTCCACTGCTCAGCTGTGACGGACAGGTGAGGGCAGGGCTGAATGCTACAGTGGGGTGCATCTGAGAGGAGATTTGCTAACAGTATGCTCCCACCAGTAGGAGGCATTTTCCACTGATTTCCTGTTTCTCCTTGTCCCTCACCCTTCTAAAACTGCTCTGGAACAGTGTTTCTTAATGTTTTGTATCTAACATCTCACCAGTTATGAGTCCCACCATGAGATGAAAGCCTACCTTATCCACGAAGGACATCTATATGTTTATAGGTACTCTATTATTACATTTATCATTTATGCTGAATTGGTGGGCAGGGGGGGATTAGGAGAAGCACCACATGTCCAAAGTCACTAGTACTACTAGGATGCTGAAAGTTCACACAGATGAATGACCCATGGCAGGTAAGAAATGCAGCATTATACTTGCAGAAGGACATGGTGGAGAATGAATTCTTAGCAATTGTTATGAAAACTCTATTCCCTACCTAGAAGTACTTATGTGCACCATTGCTTGAGAACCACTACAGGAGTTCTGAGGGACAGGGAATCAAGGGAAGTCTTCTCCCTCCTTATACTCCTGTAATTCTGTTCTGGATCTCTGTGCTAATGACAAAAAGGAGGAACTCTTCAATTTGTGGAAGCTTAGTTATGATCCTCCGGATGGCTGTATAGCTCACTGAGTTAGGTATCTGGCTTTGGAGCCAGAGTTTGGGAGTCTGATTCCCCACTGTGCCACTTTGGAGAAGACCTAATCTGTGTCATCTTGAGCAGACTGCATAGACTGCCCACAGAAGACACTGATAAAACCTCTCTTTAAATATCTTAAATACTGAAAACGCTACTGGGCTAGACATAACACAACAACAAAGTTAGAATCCAAGCCCTAAAAAGTGCATTCCCGTACAAGAATTCTCAAAAGAAAAACCTACTGGCTAGACTCCCATGAGGTAGGAATAAGTGTTTCTTCCCTTCTGGCAGACTCTCCTTTACATGGCGGACACACACAGATTGCAGAATTGGTTGTACAAAGGTGAATGTGTCAGAGGGAAAAACACTACCTAGTTGCCCCTACATAAGTAGCATTTTGGCCACTGAATTCAGAGGTGCTCACTTCCATGGGCATCATATAGGATGGAACCAAAGAAGGTGCGTGTGTGTGTATGCAAGTTCTTCCTGTGTTGACGGCCAAAGAAAAGTAACCGCTACAGTATGTATTATCAGGAACATATATGTGAACTCTGCTTGTTCTTTTTATCTTTTAAAATCTTGTGGGACATTCAATAACAATATAACATTTTAGATGTGTTGAGAAAGGGCCTCAAAAGAATTTTAGGCCAAACCTGGGGAATTGCCAAATAACATAATCCTCAGCAGAGATGTAACAGTTCAGCATCTGTGGCCTTTACTTAAAAACAGGAAACATGCTGCATCATCTGATCATTTAGCACTTCTCTGAAGGAATAAAAGAATGTTTATAGTGGGTGTCCTTCATGTGACAGATATACAAGTATTTCTGGCCTAATTTACTAACTAGGGAGACAAATTAAGAAGTTTGAGCTCTTATTTATGTTAGAAATACAAAGTCATTAATGAAGCATGAGAATTTATCTCTTAAGCATAATTTTCGGGAGGATATCTATTGGAAACCTGAGTTCAGTGAAACGCTGCTGGGGATAAAAATATTCTAAAATGCAAAAATACATTATGGCCTGAAATCCATGTCCCAGTTTGTACAGCTCTGTGCAAAAACAGATGAGATGTCAGCTTGCAGTTAGAAGCAGAAATCTCATAATAACTATAAGAATTTATTTTTCCTATGTGGAGATTTTACAGGTCCACATGTTGTGAATTAAATCACTTCCATACACACACACACCCGAACAGTTTGCTACTATTTGATTACTAAGGTCCCATCTATTCTGCTTCTTTGATTCATTTATTGAAGTGAACTACCACTTTCTTGAGATAATAAATTATGAATCATGCTCTGTTACAGCAGGTACATATTGGTTTAGACCCAGCGATCCAGAGATGCCTTGCATAGATTAGATCCATGTATAGATAAGCCAACTATGAAAGTAGGCCTATTAAATTTCCTCTCTCTCTCTGCAGTCTCCTCATCACTTTCTAGAGGGTCTATCAACTTCAGGAATTTTTGGGTTTGTTTGTTTTTTAGGGGGGCAGGGCTTGCGGGAGAATCATGAAATTTGCCTTGCATGAGTGGAAGATGTCTAAATTGTCAATTGGGGCAATATTCTGCAGGTCCCTAAAAAAAAAAGGTGTTTTCTCAGCCCCTTTGTGTACTGTTGGACCTACTGCATCCTTTCCACATATGACCTCTTGCATGTTAGCAGTGGCATAACCTCCAATATCACCCTGGTCCAGTGTGCCCTATAAGCAATCCCCATCCCCGATGACTCTGGCCTGATGACATTTGAGATTATCTTCTCTCGGTCAAAATCGATAGGTAGACGTCTGATACTTAGGGCCATTGAGGAGGTAGCTGTCCAAAATATGCCGTTCCTGAAAGAATTATCACTGGATATGTCTATTTGAGTTCAAGTGCTCTACAAAGACCTGGTATGTGTTCTTTCAAATATCACAGTATTGGTTTCTGTCCAACACAAATTTCTAACAAGAACACTAGGAGTACCAAGATGTATCTCCAAGGCCGCAGTCCAGTCTGAGACATCATACTAGTCAGTAGGTACTCTCTCTTAAGAAAGCAGCCATTTTGTTTTGGCTTAAGACAGCCTCTCCTCTGGTTTTACTGGCCTACAAGGAAATGGGGAAGGACTTTGGGGCAGCTAAGATGTCTGGTCTTATATCCAAGTTGAATTATTCGGAAGCCTGCTTCCATAGGAAGGGATATGAGGCTGCCCCAAGAAGATATTAAAAGACTATATGATATTGACATCCAGACTACCATGGAATCTGTAGCTATTTGCTGCTCCAATACGATATTTCATGCCCTTTTGGAAAGATTCCCCCCCGTATTTGCCTCTTATTAATTCACATGAGATGAGACAACTGCTAAACAAAGACAGATTGAACTTCATAGAGTTGAAAGATTCAGGGATGTTTTGTGTCTGTAGGACTTCCAAATTCATTAAATGATCTATGGAAAGATGGAACCCATTGCCTGCTTCACAATCTCTATAAGCTAATTTTACTACTTGATACTTGCTAGAAAAGGGTTATTTTATTATTTTATGCTTTTCTGATTGCCTTTATATATTAGATGTTAACTATCATCTTTTGAAAGTATTTTAAAATTCTGGTTATTTCTACAGCCTGACCGGCTATGAAGCAATAATAAAGTAAAGTGTTCAAGCTGTATCTTGTATATACTTGCCTAGAAATAAGATCCATTGAAAGCAAGGAGACTTCTCTTCTGTAGGCATGAAAAAATTCTTTCTCAGCCATACCAAGCAAATAATCCTCTCATGTTTCTTATGCCTTTGGATATGGATAGCTTGGATTAGAAAAAGAATTATTTGTCTACTGAAAACCTTGTTGTTTAGTTATTCCTCAGCTAAAAACAATTTTGATGTAGAGATATAAAAAAGCAGTACTACAGAAATTAAGTTTTCTGTCCTCGCTGTAGTACTTACATTTTTTAAAAGGGGAAAGTCAGGAAGAAGGGAAATTAAGCATATATGTTTTTTCCAAGTGCAGTATGCTCTTCCATTTGGTTTCATAGGGAAGAATTTATCTTGCGTCAGCTGTTGCAGGCAGCTTTCTTATCACATGAATGCAGTACCTGCCAATATAGATAGTAAGCCATAAGCTTATCACTTGATAAGATTTCTCTCTCAAGAAATCTTATCAAGTCTATGCAAGCACAGTAACTTGGGTACTGTGCTTGCATAGACAACCTATAGGAAATGTCTGAAGAGTAAAGAGCTTATTGTAAATAAGTGGTAACGGATCAAGTGCTTGTGGGTGCTTTCGTCTTACATTAAAAACAAAGAAGGTGATACATTCTATCGGATCAATTAATCTTCTAAGAGCTGTGCATATTCCCTTCATTTTATATATGAAATTCTTGTATCAAGCATCAGTGCCATCTTCATGCCACTGTACTTTCTTTACTCTTGGTTCTAAATTTTTGTTTGATCAGACTAAATCAGTTCTGTTCTGTCTTTATTTCTTTCTTCCCTATTCATTAAAACCTGGGTTCACCTTCTAATCCGTATGATAAATAGAAAAACTGAGCATGGTGCATTACCTTTTCAGATGGCTAAACTATAATCCATGGCCAGGATGGTGTAGAGTGATGGACTTCACTATTTAACAAGCAGGAGCCACCGCAGCTCTATGTACTCCTGTCCATGGCCATGTCTGGATCCTACCTGAACCCCAAGGAGTCATTCCTGTGCCAGCAGGTTTCTCAGTTATCACTGGCAGAAATGGTATTTATGGAATTTTTTGAAAGAGATAAAATCTTGCAACATAACATAAAGAAACATGTGAGAAACAGTCTGCGTTGAATTTGGTCATGTTCTTCTGTAGAAGGCTGCTGGTTAGAGTATACAAATATCCCCGCACAGGTGGCTATATAACGAGGGTCCAGCCCCATGGGGCTGCATGGTCCACTCACCAGTCCATCACCACTGTGGACACCATGATTCTTCCAATGGCTTTGCAGATCACAATCGGCTAGCCACTCCTGGCAGGAGGTGGGAGAACAAGCCTCGCTGCAAGGTTAAAGAGTGGCTCACAGATCGCGATCTGCAAAACCATTGGAAGAATCATGGCGTCTGCGGCAGTTTGGTGAGTGGACCGTCCAGCCCCATGGGGCTAGACCCTTGTTATCGCCACCTGTGCGGGGATATTTGTATACGAATACCCCCATCTCTACTGCTATTTTTTTATTTTAAGACCGATTTTTCCTCCAAAGACCTATACTGAGAGCCTTATATTTCTTGAATGTGACATTTTAATTTTATGTCTTTTCAGGAAAAGTAGCGATTTTGAAGGAAGATTTGCAGAAGTACCATAACAGAGACACCTGGTTTCAGCTGCAGCATGTTGACGCTGATTCTGAAGTCCAGGTGAGTGGGGCTGTCCTACTACTAAGTGACATGACTGCCCAGTGGTAGTAAGTTTAACAATTCAAAGGACATAGCTGAGGGTTCCTATAAGGTCTGTTTCTTAGCTTAAAATGTTAGACAGAAAGTGGAGGTGATTAAATGGAGGATGCTTCAGGCAGCCTCTCCATAATAGCTGTTATGCGTAGACTGACAGCTCAAGAAGTTAATTTTGTAAAAGGAGATACTACAGTTTCTGAGATAACATTGTATATTTGCTTTTGTTAAACAACTGCAGTTATCTGCAAATGGTGTTCATTATTATCCTTCGTTTATGTGCACTCATGAAGAAAGGTGTTTGGTTGCTTCATTTGTTAGGGCCCAAATGCAACATAATATTGGCAGAACAAAACTGAGCGGAACACTACAGTATTGGTTCTTCCAGTTCCACAAGAGCTGTACATTTGTTCTCGTGGTTCCTGGACACTCTGCCGGTGGTGCAGTTTCTTTTGTAACCAGTGGCACAATTAGAAGTAGCACTGGATTTCCTGCATGCCCATAGTCCATACTGAGTGTCCAGCAAGCAGTACAGCACCGTTTGTGGAAGTGGAATGATATTGTTGGCCTTTTGTCATAGTTTATTTACTGTCCTTCAGTAGGTATATCCAAAACAGTTCAAAAAAGCAGATATATAATAAAACAAAACAAAACAGTTGGATATCTCAGTAGGTTAGAGAACCTTAAGATACACTAAAATAGATGCCTGTCATATACCTTTCTGTCTAGAGAGGGATATTCAGTAAGAATTTTTGGTGGCAGAGCCAAAAACGTCTAGACATCACTTGCCTTGTCCCAGAAAGTAGAGCATCTAGAGGTAAGCCTCCGAAGATTACCTCACTGCAAAAGCAAGTTGTGGAAGTTGGTTACTTCATGTGTATAGGCCAAGTTGTGGAAGTAGACTCTTTCATGTGTCTAGGCCCCAAGAAGTAGAGGTGAATGCCAGTTCTTTGAATTTTGCTTAGAAATTGACCAGGAGCTAATGCAACTTCTTAAGTACATGGGTGTGCTTGTCACATGTATGCGATACTAAGCATCCTTACATTTGAAAATGTATGCAGTTTTATTTTCCAGGTCATTGCTGAGAATCACTTTACCCTTGTGGTAAGAAAGAGATTTTGTTTAACTTTGTGAATCTCTTTTCTGTGTACTAACAGAAGTTATTCCTGAGTGGGAGGTTTGTTTTGTTGTGGCCAGGAAGAAATATACTTTGACTCTTAATGTGAAGGGCTACCTGTCCTGTGACTGAGAAATGAGAATTGCAGAACATTTAGCAGGAAAGGTATAACAAAATAGTGGATGAAGAGAAGGAAACCTGTTCAGGAATGTATAGCATAGGGAATTGGAAAATATAAAATGGAATGTCCTTCTGCACATAGCCAGAATGGAGATTCGTTCATCTGATAACACAGACTCCGTTCTGGCAATGGGAAATCATGGCAAAGTCCAAAGTCAGGAAATGTTTTGAAACAAGCTAGGATCTGAAACTACAGATTGCATCTTGTTTCATCTCTTATCATAGTTTAAACCACTAGTTCTTATCAGTTGCCTCTCAGATACTGTTGGATGTCAACTCCTAGCATGGCCAATGATCAGAGAGATTCTAGGAGCGGAAACAAAGTATCTGGAGGCCTGGAGATTGAGAACCACTATTTCAAACAAACCACAGTTTCTTGAATTCAGATTTCATATATAACTATGGTTTGTTTCATTGTGGAAGCAAATCTTCTAGTCTCATAGATGCATGAAAGTGGAAGGGGGAGCAGTCTGTTCTATCTAATGTAGAACAGTATAAGACTGTAATTAGACTATTGATCCTGAAGGCAGCCAGAGGATTGGAAATCTACCTCAGACACCTTGATTTGATTACAGTACAGTGCAAAGAAGGTGGTTTGTATCTGTGATTTCAGAAAAGAGGCTGTACCTTCCCCTGACTGAAATTAAAAAGAAACATAGTAAAATTTAACTGGAGACTAACCTAGTTAACAGGTTGGGTTTTTTTTTTAACTTCACTTTTCTCCATCCTGATCTTCAAGAATAGGAGTTTCCATTTCTACAGGGTCTGTCTGCAGTGGCAAAAGTAAAGAGCAGCAGCAACATTCTAATATAACTCTGTTGATAACATTCTCTACTGCAGATACAAAGGCAAGAGATACAAAAATAAGCTAGTCTCTGTCAATGGCTTCATGTGTGGCTGGTAGTGCTATGTAAATCAATGTATATCATTTGTCTAAACTATTAGTTCAAAAGGGCTGTTAAAATATGTGATAGGGCAATTACTTCACAATGGATGATACTAGGTATTGGCCTTAGATAACTCCAACAGCAAAGGCTGAAATATACACACCCAACCATCAGTACTGGTGCTTTCTTCCTGTGGGAAATTAAGACTGTCCTTTATCATGTGAAGTGCATCAATATTTATATAGTCTTTGTGCACTCTGAATATTTACTGTATTGTTGACATAATGTGGGAGTTGTTTGGCCCAGTGCTTCCTTTCTAAGAGACTACTGATTATTTATAACCCCAGTCCTTATATCTTGTAGCAAACATTTGTGAAAACTTCTAGTTGATTATGCACATGAGTTCTGAATCCCAATTATAAACATGGTACTATTTTTGTACTGTTTATCACTTCCTCTCTCTTTTTGCTTTGTAAAAGCCAGCTTCTTAATGCTACATTTGGACCTCAACGATAAGTGTTTTCTAAAAGCGGATTATCTTGTGTTTTGTTCTTGTATGTTATGGTTCTGTCTCTGTTTTGGGAACTATCTCTAGAGAGCTCCAGCTAGTGGGTGATACAGAAATATAGTTGAATAAATAAGCAGAACTTCATGGGGACTGTTCTTGTTTATAGGATACAAAGCATGCCAGCTTTTTTCTTTATTAAAAAGTATGCCTTCTTGCACTGGTGAGGGACTGCTAATGGAAGAACATGGTCAATGAAAATCTAAGCTTGCATTAATGTTGCAGAAAGTGTCATTGAGGTACTGTAGTAATGAAGATTTGGTATCTGTGTCAATGCAACAGCGCAAAAACAGTGTTCTTCTCAGGGCAACTTGTACAACTGGGCTGTCTTGTCTGCACATTGTTAACTCTAGGCTGCAGGCAGGTGAAGCAAACATAAACCAAACACAAGCAAGATCATGAAAAGAGGGTAATATTGATAACAAGCTCCATGAGTGGTTTCCCTGCAAATCAAAGTATATTGAGGAAGAAATGAAATACTGTTCTAGTGGCTCCTTCTGCACTGAAAAGATCCTAAGGAGGTTGGGCTTTGTAAGAATAGAACACTTGTATTTTAACCTGACAGCCCCCCACCCCCACCCCCAGCAAGTTACTAAAACATGTTTTAGCATTCATGGTGGGGGAGGGGGGATCCCAGTTTGGGTCAGAACATGTATTCCACAAGTGTCAGAAACAGAATCATTCTGGGTTTTCCTGTAAATATACGTGAAATATTCTCATCACTTATAACTACAGTTCCAGCCTAGCCCACCCCCAGTAATCAAGTAAATATACGTGAAATATTCTCATCACTTCTTATGACTACAGTTCCAGCCCAGCCCACCCCCCAGTAATCATCTGTCGCACTCATACCCTTTGCTCCTTTCCTTGCTCTGGGATGTCCCTGGCAAACACAATCAGATGCTTAAAATCCCCAGATATACATTCGTTCTGCATTCACAGCACTGAAGTCATGTTTATAAATAGAACACCACTTGGCTAGAAGTCACGGTGAAGTCTAGATTGATTTACTGGTGATGAGAAAGGCAGATTTCCGAACAACTTCCTGAACGGCTGTGTTTTGATCTTGTTTTTGTTTTAACTTCAGTAGAACTGCCACCTCCAGTGAACCTATATGACTCAGGCAGATAGCTTCTCTCCTCCCAGTGTGGAGATCCCATTAAATCTGCTGTCATAAATGGCTTTGTAACACCCACCTGCATATTTAGTAGAGAAAGAGAAAAATGGGCTTTTGCATTATTAAAAGCATTATCTGAAGCTGAGTAAGTATTTTACATGGTTCAAATGCTGGCCCTCTCAGTTTTTATATTTAGTGCAGTATTGCAGGCATGGAGTAACACAGTGAGGAATGCTGGATTGGTTAGCAGAGCCTCCCCCGCCCCCTCCCCCGCTGTACAGGCAGTGTCACAGCTCCAGGACATTGATGCCAAGTGATGACATTCTGTGTTTCTCCCAAACTCATCTTCAGACTATTTGCCCCTAGGTTTCAGTATGCAGACTGATCCCAAAGAAGGCAAAAATAGAGCCATGGTAAAGTTTTAAGAGAGAAGAAGGTTGTGGATAATTGGCAGGTACCACTGATGTGGCCACAGTGCTGCATGTCCAGGTGTGGCCTTGCAAGGAATGGAAGAATCTTGAAGCCCTCTATTTGCTGCTTTCTATGGGTTGAGCATGTATACCATTCTACATGCTGATACTAATGGCACAGTCCACGGACGTCAATACCAGTTTAAACAGGGATGTCCAAGTTAAACCTGTGAAATCTTGTCACAATCACTTTAAGATAATTCTAAAAATTTCCCTAGAAACAACATAAAGACATCCTGTTACTACCAGTGACACTTTCGTTGTCTTTTCTTTGCAATTGCTTATGTGATATTGCAAGACGATCTGCTACTCAATACCATGCTTTGTCATTTCTATGTGGGGATGTTAAAATGTGAAGGTTTATATTACTCAGTTTATAGTATGTACATCAGATTGGAGTGATATGTCCTGTTATCATTAGTGTGGCATATACTAATAATAGTATGGTATATAGTAATAACACACATATAGTGTGGTATATACTAAAATGTTAGAATGGGGTGTTCTTCAGATACCAGGCAGGATAGTGTGTTGTTTAGGACACTGTCTACAGTTTGAAAAAGTCACTGTTGTTTAGCTGCTGCGCTCATAATACTTGTTCAGTTTATTTACATGTTTTCAGCATAGGGCT